GCTGTCATAATCATGGCTACTCGAGTGGCTACTAGATTTCAATCAGAATTGAAAAGAAGCGAAAAGAAGTGCTTGCATAGCCACAATAAGTTCATATTTTTGTTTGACAGAACTAATAGTGATTGAAATATCCTGCTATAGTGGTGAAAAATATAAAATATAACTCTTATACCTGAAGCCTTGGGATATAATCTTGGTCCCTCGGTAATACTGGTATTCTTTCCTACCTTGGTGAATAAATAACTATTTTGCCCTTTAAAGAGTGCGGACACGCTTGTCGCCACTGATATTTCCGAATTGTCATCATTTTCAAGATTTGTAACGTCAGTTCTTAAAATTCAATTGGGGTTTCCGCGAAAATGTTTTCGAATATATCTTGACCTCGATCTTGACCGAGGAATAAATCACGGGTCAATTTCGGGTACACTAGACTTCCTTTACAAAGAATTCCCAGAATTCCTGGGACTACCCAAGAAATTCCTACGACTATCCAAAGAGTTCTCGAACTTCCTAAAGAATGCTCGGAATTCCCAAAGACTACCCGGACATCCCGAGGAATTCCCGCCTCGGGTACACTGGACCTCCCACGTGATTCACCCCTCAGGGTTAACATTTATTTGCGAGTTTATTTGAGTTGACCAAGACGAGATGACATTTCAAATATTCGTTGAAGCTTCAAATTCCAATATTCATGTCATGGAAATACATTCATAATTGATTCTTCGATTTCATTTGGTACGAAGACCAACTTGTTGAATTCAGAGAAATAGTCTATCACATGAAAAAGAATATGTATGTATTTTTGAACGGTCTTTAATAACAAACTGTATAACATGGATCCTTCTATACTCAATAGATCACAAACCTCATTCAAAATTAAATATAAAAGTATTCTTCTGGACACCCAATGAATATAATCATTTATTTAGTCGAAAAAAAAGCAAGATAATATTGAAGTTTGCCTGCAATGTTTGTTGATTATTGATTAGAGATGAACAACAAAACCATAACCTATTGCAATATTCGACAGATTTCAGAATTTCAGAAAAATGTTTGCCATTTATCGATGCTCTTTTATTTTCTTAATCCCTTAATCCTTATCATTTCGTTATCAGATGACGGTATAAAATCTGCAGCCGGAAGTGGTTTCGGTCCACATTCTGAAACTTCATGCTAATTGTTTGTGAAAAAGTACTTGTCACAATAACTGTACAGTGTGGGTACAGTGTATATAAACATATTATGATGAACAATAAATGTATTAATATTATCTATTAATTCTCAGTTTTTGTTGCAGGACACGATGCCACACGATGGGCTGAACCCCCCCACCATTTGTTTGCAGATAACAATACGATATTGAATAAAGGTATGTTTCCATTTTATAATATTGATATGTGTGAAGGTTCGACAAAAATGGCGAAGAGGTCTGACATTTCAGAAAAAAAAATTGTGAGATTTTTTTCATTGTGTGGTCACTCAATGTCAGTGTCAAATTTGATTACCAATTTTATTCAAATTACGTGGAATGTTGCATAGCAACAAACTTTTCCTACCTAGGCAGAGTAAGTATACCTTTCCGGCCTGTTTCATCCCTCTTCGATAGGTAACAAAATGTTACTTTTTGAAAAATTACTTCTTCTGCAATCGTCTCAAAAGTTGTCCATTTTTGTTCCAAAATTAGCTCTTGAAGATGACGATTCTCTTACTGACAATACAATGATGAGTATTTATGCTGCTAGGCAACACTTTTAGTGTCTAGGAGCTAAAGTTGAAGTTTATCTCCTATATAGAAACTATGTGTCGGATGACAGCTGATATGATAGCTGCGTTGACGCTGACATGCTCTAAGTCTAATGAGTCAAAATACTGGTAACTCAGATTTTATAAATTAGATATCAATTATTTCGATTGCAGAAATAATAGCATGTTTCATTCGGATCAAAATTGGCTCTGTTTGACTTCCAAAATTTGCTTGCTCGGCATCGCAGTCGCTCCGCCTCGCAAACGCAAATATCACTTGTCACATTTGATCATAATAAAATATACTAATTTTCCCGTGAGAAAAGTGATTCACTGATGACTGTTGGCTTTTGTTGTTGTAGCAATTCCGAAAAATAAACCAAATCACCTTAGAATAACACCGTCTCAGAGGATGAGCTGCATGTCTTTTCAATCTTCCATTTCATAAGACTCATACGCACTTTCGTGAATTTTATGAGATTTACATGGCAATCATTTTTATGACGCTAGTTTTGCTGCTTTTACTAACTCCGGTGGAGTGAGAATCAGACATTTTTCAATTATTCAAAATAACTATACTAAACTAAATAACCACTAAGTCAGCAATATTCAAATCAAATCACAGAATTTAATTGACAGATATTTGTGAAAACATAAATAGTGCATGTGTTTGAGAATTTCGTGGAAATCTTATCGTTTGTGAAATTTTCACATTCGCTATGGATCTCCATCAAGTAACCGCCGAGTCAATTCAAAATTTGATAGAGATTTGATCGCTTTAATTTAAAGGTTTCCTTACCAAACGCAGGCTTAATCGTCTCTGTAAGTACGACAGCCTTTCTACCTATTCACATCGATAATTTTCGGACTTGTATGTATAGTGACTGCGAACCGTCGTTTTTTTTTTGTAACAGAAAACATAATTTCGTAGTTGAAAACATAATGTGTTATACGGGCAAAATATAAGATTTGAGCACTCGGTGTTTGTCTTTCCCCTGTTTTATTTCTCTCGTTTAGTTTTTCATTGTCATTGTTCACACAAATATATTCATAAATAACAATAATGCTACTGTGTGGGGGGGGGGGGGGGTGGAGTATTTATGGTTGATCACTCTTTACGTGCTTGAATTAAGAAGACAAGATTCTCTACGTGTTCAATCCTGTGGTTCAATCGAGGATTTGGAATAACAAAGTTATGATCAATGTCAACATTGGCAGTTTATAAATCATATTGAAATCAACATCTGTTTCCACATCTATTCTGATGTGTATTATCATTTTTGTGAATAATAATAATTAACTTGGCAATGCCGCCAAAGAATTGCAAGAATAAGATATGGTTGTATGGACAAGATAACGAAATATCAAAATATTTTGACAAAATAGAGGGTGGTCCATAAAAAAAGACTAATCATGTAGCCCCGCTTTCACAAAACATCCTGTAGAGTTCGAAAGGGTGTCCCGAAATTAGCCAGCCAAACATTTCCGAAACGCGATGCATGTGATAAAATGATGCAATTCGGTACTTTCCATGCCCAATGCATTGAATATAAAATCATTTCAAAATGTCATTCAGGAGTGTATAATACAGGGTGAGGCTACATTAAATATTGCTGTAACTTTTTTGTTTGCATATTTTTCGACAAAGTAATCTCGTATTATGAAAATTCACACCTCGTTATACAGATCGTATCGATCAGATATATCATTTTCGAGTTAAATCGATTTAAAAATATTGTTACATCTCAGATATTATGCATAACATTGCAATCAATATTGAGGGCTATGAAAAAAAAGCCACAAAAATTGAAGTATTTTTTGTCATCATTTTCATATTTTACGCGCTTCTATAAGATTGTTTGGTGAAAATAATGTAGTTGATTTCTTTTATAACCACTATGATTTGAAAATTGGCAACTTTATGCATAAAATGTGAGATGTAACACTATTTTGAAATCAGTTTCACTCGATTAATACCCGCCTATTCCAAGAACCATTAAGATTTCTTCAATTTCGTAAAACCGACCAATTACCAGGTATTGGTAGTGATAAAAAGCTACCTTGCTTTCCCAATAACCGATGAAAATATGCACGTTGCTTTTGTTATAAGTGATATTCTTTCAATCTGAATTAAGTCAGATATTTCACTTGAACTGAACTGAATCAGTTAATATGCATTTGTTTAAATGACGTTCATTGCATTGCAACTCGAATTTAGCGAAGTAGAAAAAATCTCTCGAGCAAGCTATCGCGATTTTTTCACTCCCTTGATTCTAGATCACACCCTGTATCATACACTTTTGAAAAAAATGTTGGAATGATTCAATTTTCTTGTACCGAAACGCATCATTTCATCACATGTCGTTACGAAAATATTCAAGAAATTTCATCTTTGGAGTCCCCTCTCAGGGGGCAGTAGCTCTTTTTCATTTTTTTTGGTCGTAGAAGCCGCAGGTGAAGTTTAGTAGGCTAATTCCGGGACACCCTTTGTACATTTGTTCCCGAAATGATTTTGTCTAACTCTTACCGCAAATTGCAATGGAAATATACCTAGAGCTTTTTCACACCACGTGGATATGCACCAGGAATATTTCAAAAATGTTTTCAAATAACAATGATAACTTATTATCGAAAACCACCTCGCGCCTTTTTATTCGTTTTCAAAATATTTTGTTTCTGAATTTACTTTATACATCAGTTTCAAGTAGGCAGCGTTTCATTTTACTCATTTTTTTATATCATTCTTTTGATCAATTTAATCAAGCCAATTTATTTGTATTAATCGAAATTTCAAATCACTTGAGGTATATCAATAGTGGAATCATGAACATTTCCAGCTTATTCCTATCGTATTCTATATGTTGATTTTCTCAATCCATTATTCTAATTTCCTGCGAGCCGAGCTGTCAAATATTTCAGCCGACTTGTCATAGGAAGCCTTGTTTCACAAAATCCAATTTGGACACCAAATCCTTGACTCGAGAAATCAATAAACCCATTTGACAGATGTGTAAAAGCCGCTGTCGTCGAAAGCAGTAAATTTTCCCTAATTTGTTTCGAAAAAAGTGGCCTCCGAAGGCCGATTGATACTCAAAAACGACCCAGCAGTGGTTTCAGCTCTTGTCAATTAACGAAATCGAAATTAATTCATTTTGTAGCTATACGAGACTGGATGCATAGAGAAAGAGACTGACATTCTCGTTTTTTTCTTGAGTTACCGATTTTCTTCGTTGTGTTTCAGCTTCCGTGGATTGGAAATGGACAAAGAAAATGGTAAAGGCAACAGTAAAGGTAACTCCGGCTCAAACAAATTGTCCAATTCTCAAGACCCCGACTCCATACTTGATGCTGCCAGTCTGTTCGGGGGTAAGTGATTTCATTTATACTCGCACTAAAGTTAAGTAGGCTCTTGCTCTATCATTTTTTGGAAACGAAGCTGTCGATATCAGGCCGAGGAAGCTATAATATTATAGTAGAAGATCCGAACCTAAGTCGACCTTCACCGAGCTGATAATAGAACGAAATATATTTTATCATGAATTTAGTATATTAGAAAACATATTAAAAATGGGTTGCCTAAAAAAATCCTGGGCAGACTAATTTTAATTATTTTTCGAAAAATTATCTTTAATTAAATGTTGCAACATCAGGATAATAAAAAAATTGTGTCCTGACTGAAAGTATGAAACGTATAGAATGTGCAGCCGTTGGGGTGTCTACTATTTACCTGGGCGAACTACTGGGTTGTCAGGTAAACACAGGTATATCGATGCCAGTTGCTTTCACTGGATTGGATAATTTAAAAAAATGTATATCATCATAAGCGCTGTTTAATTGCGAACACGTTGATATAGGGTTGTCTGCGAAAATTCCGGTCCGATTAGGGGTTTTTAATTTCAACGCGCGTGGAAGTGTGTGACAGAGAGATCCGAGGTAAGTATACTGTGTGATAATAAAGGACCCAACATCGCAGTCGCTTGTGATGGGACCCTGAATAGTAGAAAGTGTGCGAAGTCAAATCCTGAAAACTATGGTTGGCATTTTGATGATTTCTTAAAACCAACAGGTTTTATCGGAGATCAAACTCCTTTGAAAATCCAGGACATTGTCGAAATGGAAGCAAATGAGGAAGAATCTAATGAATCAGACGAATTCGAGAGTCAAAATGATACTTCTGATGAATCAGATATTGAATAGAAAATATTTATTAGAATTTATTTTTCATTAATATTATTTTTGTATTTATACTGTTTTTTAATAAAATTTCAAATCGTAATACAAGATGTCTAGTCTATCTTTTTTGTTATTTCTTAATTTAAATTTTTGGCGGTCCACTTTGTTTCTATTTCCAGAAAGAGCAAAAAAATTTCAAAGTAAGTATTTGATATTTTTATTGTCTATTATAGATTATAGATATATCATTATGGTTATAACGCAATATACTGATATTATATTGTTTTTATATATTAGTATTATATTAAATATATTTAATTATTATGTAATTAATTAATTATTTTTTTTTGCTACTGGAATATCAGTTGCTCCAAAATAACACGCACTGTTTACTATATGAAGGGTAGTAGAGGTACCTCTACCCTCCATAGTTTACACACCGAGCATGCGCACTTTCTACTATTCAGGGTCCCATCACAAGCGACTGCGATGTTGGGTCCTTTATTATCACACAGTATACTTACCTCCGATCTCTCTGTCACACACTTCCACGCGCGTTGAAATTAAAAACCCCTAATCGGACCGGAATTTTCGCAGACAACCCTATATCAACGTGTTCGCAATTAAACAGCGCTTATGATGATATACATTTTTTTAAATTATCCAATCCAGTGAAAGTAACTGGCATCGATATACCTGTGTTTACCTGACAACCCAGTAGTTCGCCCAGGTAAATAGTAGACACCCCAACGGCTGCACATTCTATACGTTTCATACTTTCAGTCAGGACACAATTTTTTTATTATCCTGATGTTGCAACATTTAATTAAAAATAATTTTTCGAAAAATAATTAAAAATAGTCTGCCCAGGATTTTTTTAGGCAACCCATTTTTAATATGTTTTCTAATATACTAAATTCATGATAAAATATATTTCGTTCTATTATCAGCTCGGTGAAGGTCGACTTAGGTTCGGATCTTAGACTATTAGGTACCCCCTGTGGAAGAAAATGATTTGCTAATATACAGGGTGATACAAGTTTTACTGAAGAATATTTTAGAAATTGGTATAATTCCAAGTGGTATTCCTAGCTACAACAATATTTCTTTCTACTAGCTTGCAGAGAAGTGAACTCTTTCAACATTAACTTTCAACTTCAAATTTCACTTTCAACACTTATATGAGTGCGGAAGAGAGGATTTGTTTTTTTTCGCACGCTAGTAAAAAAAGCAGTGAACCGACCACGTGCGTGAAGTGACTCTTTCGCATGCGATTGCAGATGGCCGAACGACGCGTTAACGGAGTTTGGTCAGCGAAAAAGTATCACTTTCCGCACTTGTTAGGTAATAGTTTATTACATAACTAGGATTGTAAAACGCATATTATGCACGAAGGGGAGAGAGTAACACACGATGCCGCGTAGTGGCGAGTGCGTAACTTCACAAGTGCGTAATTGCTTTACAACTCGAGGAATGTACTATACTTTTTCTACGACTACACAGATATTACAGGTATTGTGTTAAGATACAAATAGCAAATACGTCTTCCGTCACTTCAAGCTAACTGCATGAAAAGGTACAAATTACAATTGTTCTTGTATTTCTTTATAGGTAAATTGTAAAAGGAACCATTTTCCTCAATTTGAACTAATATAATGCCGTTTTCCATATATTACAATTTGGTGTAACGGAATTAAGCGATCTTGGTCTCATTATGAAGGTTTTTTTCCCATCTTCCCATTTTTTTTTTCGAGAATTTCAAATGGAACCATATATTTTTCCTGCTATGATATGGAAGTAAAGTAAACGAGAAGAAAAATGGTGAAAACCGCGAGTTGATACCTCTTGAAGAACCGGAGAAATACTCGGAATAATATTAAAATTTAAACTGTTAGCATGTCAAATGCCTCCTCATTCGTTATCGGCATTTTGACAAATAAGCAATCCACAGTGAAAACTTCCAATGGAACTTCAATTATATTTTGACGTTTCTTTCATTCAAAGCCAACCTGCCTTTTCTCATTCCTGAGCCTATACTCACTACTTACATTTCAATTAGCTATGTCATTACTGAGAGTCTCCTTCACTATTGTGAGATATAACAGCAGTTTGTGAAACCAAAATAAATGAATTATTGAAATCATAATTTCATAGATACAGGATATTTCTGATTACGATTATTGAAGTTGGTGGTGAATATTTTCATAATATTATTTCGAGTATTTCACCGGTTCCTCAAGAGGTATCAATTCGCGGTTTTCACCATTTTTCTTCTCGTTTGCTCTACTTTCATATTAGAGTAGAATTAATATATGGTTGGTTCTACTTTTCAAACGATGCGATCTAGCGGCCACCACAGGATTTAAATCGACTTGATTCGTGATTCATCTGGAAGAACCAAAAAAACCCTTCATAATGAGACCTAGATCGTTGAATTCCGTTACACCAAACTGTAGTTTCATTTAAAGAGCTAGCGCAATTTTTTTTGATCGAAATGATTGGAAATCAACTCGAGAACATGGAAAAAGTCTTGATACATCAAATATTCATAAAAACCCGTTTATTGAACTGGCCAATGCAATCACGCCCTCTAGCGGCTGTCCTGGAAACTTGAAAATAATTTCCAGAGATTTCTCTTGGCCACTTTCATCATTCATATTTTTTTCGAAACCTGTGCGGCAAATAGTTTCCGAGATACAGCCGGCGTCCTTTCTTAGTGGTACACCCGGTACAGGGTGTCCAGTTTTCGATGATTTTGCGTGATATCTCAGTTATCTCTCCAGTTCTCGCGGTCCTGTGCTGCTTTCTTGTGAAACTCAAGATGGCCTAATAAGATTTTGCATGACTGTTTCCGTTTATGAGATACAGGACGATTTTGGGAATTAATATTTTTTGGGCCTTCTCTACAGTGTCATTCATAAAGTCGGCATCATATGGGATAAACTTTTATTAATGACTTATTTTGAAATTCTAGTTGGACGTTAAGTTTTGCTTCAGAAAAGATGAAAAATGGCCTACTCAATCGGGGTCACGTGACTTTCGCTACATGTCATAAGTGACATTTTTTCAAATTAATCGCTGAAAGTAGGCTTATTTGTTCGAATATCGAAAAAGTTTACTTGAAAAAGTTGTTTCTATTTGAATTTTACATATGTGACTCGGATTTTATCTTTCTATTACATTTTTTAGATTTCGATATTTTTTAAAAGTTTTCGAAATTTCTGTAATATTAAAAAAATTGTAAATTTGATAAAACTACTTCATACCAGTAGCTTCATCATGTTACTAACTTTCAATAACTAATTATCACTAATTATCGACAAAAATATGATTTTCTTCAGAAAATGATAATCTCCTCTTCAAAATTCTGTTATGTTTGATGCAAACATAACATAAAAATTCTGTCATGTTTGAGTCAAGCATTTAGAAACGAAATTTATTTTTTCAGTACTGAAAAGATCAGTTTAAATGAATTTCGTTTCTAAATGCTTGACGATATATCAACTTTGCATCAAACATAACAGAATTTGGAAGCGGGTATTATCATTTTCTGAAGAAAATCATATTTCTGTCCATAATCAGTGATAATAAGTAATTGAAAGTAAGTAGCATGAAAAAGCTACTGGTATGAAGTAGTTTCGTGGAATTAACAATTTTTCAAATATTACAAAAATTTCGAAAATTAAAAAAAAAATCAAAATCTAAAAGTTGCAATAGAAAGATCAAATTTGGGAAGCATGTGTAAAATTGAAATAGAAACAACTTTTTCAAGTAAACTTTTTCGATATTCGAACAAATAAGCCTACTTTCAGCGATTAGTTTGAATAAATGTCACTTTTGACATGTATCGAGAGTCACGTGACCCCGATTGAGTAGGTTATTCTTCATCTTTTTTGAAGCAAAACTTAACGTCCAACTCGAATTCAATAATAAAAGTTTTTCCCATATGATGCCGATTTTATGATGAAACTGTATATCTACGAAGTTTCTCAGCGAAAATGTCGAATGAGATTCCATCCCATAGAGAATTTTACGCAGAATCCAGTGGCGCACAACATTTTTTGTCGGGGTATGGCTGCGGAGATACGACTCAAACTTATAATTTTTCAAATGGAACACCCTGTATTTTATAAGCTCATCAAATTCCTAATTTTTTCTCTTCAAAATGATATATTATGTATGAATATGAAATTTTCAAAAATGTTCCAAAATCACTAAAACATTGAATTTTAATAGTGGGCTACATCTTTATATTTTACTCAGTACAAATAATGCCACGCATTTTCAATTTCAAAATTCACTTTTCACACTTACTTCCTCAATCGGCTTCACTTCTCCCACTTATATTTTTCACACTAATTACTCTTCTTACATGCACTTCTACTTTTTACACTTTTATATTACACAATTACTTTAAATTTTCAGTCACTTTTTAATTTCACGCTTACTTTCACATTCCACTAACTACAAATATTGCCACAATCTACACCAATTTTTAATTTCTGCAATTATTTCAACTTTTTATACATTTTCACTTCTAAAATTAACTTTTCACACTCACTTCTTTTTCAAATGCACTTTTAACTTCTCTTTCAATTGCACTTTCACTTTTCACGCTAACTTTTATATCACACAACTACTTTCGATTGTCACAGCCACTTTTTAATTCCACCCTTACGTTTACATTTCACTCGCTACGAATATTACCACAATCTATACCAATTTTCACTTTCCGTTTTTAGTTCTACTTTCCACATCACTCGTGAAATTCACTGTTCACACTTATACATTTATGTTTAATAATTTCACACTCACTTTTCACTCTTGATTTCACACAAACGTTTCACACTTACTTTTCCCACTTACTTTTCCCACTACACCAATAAACTTAGCAGAACCACTTCAATATTTCGGATTTGCAATAGTACTATACTTTGTTACTAATTTAGTACTGATTTATTATCATATTTGCAAATTTATTACCCTTCATTAAACAGAAAAAACCAACGGCTCTGCTAGCTTTATGTCAACCTAGCAGAACCATAGCTGAAAATTTAATATTTTGAAAATGTCTCGGAAAATGTTGAATATACCATAATCTATAACTATTTTATTACTTACTTATAACCATAATCACGAATTTTTTACTCATCATTTCAAGGAAAAAAACGACGATTTGACTATCTCGATCTCAACCTAGCAGAACCAAAACTCAAATCGCATGTTTTTTTCAAATTCTATTGAATTATCAAGAAGTTACTAATTAATTACTAATTTATTACCACATTCGCAAAATTCTAACACTTTATTCAATAAATCATAAATAGTAAATTCTTAGCTATGGTTCTGCTAGGATGACATAAAGATAGCAGAGCCGTTGATTTTGGCTATTGAATAAAGTGTTAGAATTTTGCGAATGTGGTAATAAATTAGTAATTAATTAGTAACTTCTTGATAATTCAATAGAATTTAAAAAAAAAAACATGCGATTTGAGTTTTGGTTCTGCTAGGTTGAGATCGAGATAGTCAAATCGTCGTTTTTCTCCTTGAAATGATGAGTAAAAAATTCGTGACTATAGTTATAAGTTAGTAATAAAATAGTAATAAATTAAATAAATTATGGTAGATTTGAAGTTTTCAAAATTATAATTGTTTAGCTATGGTCTCGGCTATGGTTCTGCTAGGTTGACAGCAAGCTAGTAGAGCCGTTGGTTTCCCTGTTGAATGAAGTGTCAGAAATTTGCGAATGTGGTAATAAATTAGTAATAAACTAGTAACTTATCGATGATTTCAGAATTTCAAAAAAACATGTGATTTGAGTTTTGGTTCTACTAGGTTGAGATCGAGATAGACAAATCGTCGTTTTTTTCCTAGAAATGATGAGTAAAAAATTCGTGATTATAGTTATAAGTTAGTAATAAAATAGTTATAAATTATGGTATATTTAAAATTTTCAAAATATTAAATTTTCAGCTATGGTTCTGCTAGGTTGACATAAAGCTAGCAGAGCCGTTGGTTTCTTCTGTTTAATGAAGAGTAATAAATTTGCGAATATGATAATAAATTAGTACCAAATTAGTAACAAATTATAGTACTATTGCAAATCCGAAATATTGAAGTGGTTCTGCTAAGTTCATTGGGGTTTTCCCACTTACTTTTCCCACTTACTTTTCACACTTACTTTTCACACTTACTTTTCACACTTACTTTTCACACTTACTTTTCACACTATCTTTTCAACTTACTCTGGACATTTTATTGAATGATAACACTACCGTTCATTCCAGCCTATTGGCCCCGCGGCGACGCCGCCGCCAACATGTTCGCCGGCTTCGGCCTGCCCGCCCACCAGTCGATGCAGTTCGGCATGCTGCCGCCCGGAGGGGGAGGAGGCGGTTCGGGTGGCGCGGGGCGGCAGGCGCAGGGGCAGCAGCAGGGCATGCCGCCCGCCTATCCGGCCGCCACCAGCGCCTCGGCGGCGGCGGCGGCTGCTGCTGCCGCCGCTTACAGCAACGCCTACAACAACACGCTGTCGGTGGCGGCTAGTCAGGCGGCCAGTCTCGGGATACCTGCTGCAAGTGAGTTGATTGTTACGTTTTAATTAGGTGAATATTTATTTTTACGCCGGTGGGAGTGACAAGAGTCTCGAGATCATACCCGTGTGTTCACCGAACACGCTCGATCGTTACGTAAGCGGTGGGGAGACCAAGACGTAAGCAGGCAATGAGTGGGCAGGCCAGGCAGCTTCTCTCATGCTGTCTTTGTTTTTGTAGTACGGGGTGGGCCACCAACAGTTTTCTTGATCACATTTCAACATTTTTTTTTTTTCGAATAAATAAGAAACATTTGATAGGCATCAGGTGATCTACTGCGACCTATCAGATAATGCAAGCGATGATTTGATTTGCAATAATCGCTATGTCACGACGAGTCCTACATGTAAATAGCGATCGAACCACTCATCGAAAATCATGAAACTATATGTACATATTATATGCCTATGTTTTGTTGGCGAGGACGCTCGTTTTATTCAAATTATTTTCGATAATTGTCATCTGCTTCACTAGAAATTATTATTAGTAGTTAGTAGTAGTAGTAGTAGTAGTAGCAGCTTTGTTATTCAAAATGGAACACCTTATATTTCATTACATTTTTCGATTCTTCTAATTGAGCTATGATTTCGTTGATCAAGCTCAAGGTATACCTATACGTAGAATGTGAAAAATCGAGATTTTTTTTTAATCGAAACTATACAATACCTATATTGATTTGTCAAAATGGCTTACATGTGTCCCTATCCTAACATTCTATTTACTATCTACTGATGCCATTTAATTGAAACCGAGATTGAAACAAATACAGGGTGGATCAGATTTCAGAATTATATAAAAGAATATATATATTTGAAATAAACAAAAAAAATATATCACATAAAAAAACACAGCCTAATATTCAACATAAAATAAAATGCAATCCCACTGGATGTATTTAAAAATATAAACAGTGTGCATGTCACTTCTATAATGGAATATCAATAACCCGTATATATAACGTAACTGTTCAATTTTAAGGAGCGATAGATATATATACCAACTATGACCAAAGTGAGGTAATCTTCAGTGAAAAACACTGCTCTGGTCATGGACCCACCAACATTTCCGGAAAATGATATTATATAGGAGGCAAGATAGGTCGAAAATCACTTCGGATTCGAAATCAGGACGTAACTCTGTACCTCGAAAACGAAGCAAGTTTAGGACACATGTTTATATGACCTTTATTCATCATATTATATCACAAGGAATCATCCCTTGAATTATTTTGGTGTTATTTAGATACACCCTGTATAGATCATTCTTCATCCCAATATAGTTATTCAACATTTTCCCATAGCGAAGTTCAGCAAATACCGATGGCGAGAGCACTATGTTTATTGATTTGATGTCTACCTATAATATATGTAAAACAAGAAGGCACAACGCACAACCACAACTACTAGTGTTTCGTTTCGAAGTACATTAAATTGACAAATTTGACTCCAAAATAATTCAGGCACGCGCCAATATTCATAACGTACCTAGTTACTGCTGCCCGTTTACGTTTCCCCACCGCTTAGGGAACGATCGGGCGTGTTCGGTGAACACACGGGTATGATCTCGAGACTCTAGTGTGGGAGTGGAAGTTAGTTTCTCTGATAACAAAAAAGGGGCAGAAGTCTCGTATTATTTCCCAGGGAGATAATGTGACTTATTTTCTCCCTAGGGAGTTTATACCAACTCCACATTTTTCGCATGCGAAACATGGCAACAGAGTTTTTTAAACACACCTTCAGTCGTTCGAGTCCTATCCGGCCTGTCAATTGTAGGAACTGTCAATTGTCATTTTCAAATTTTCTTGCAATCAGAGTTACTCAAACAATTTCTGTTTGTATCAGAATTCTTCATTAAAAATGTTTGCGAAATGTAGGCGAAAGTGAAATCGAAGAAAATGTTTGAGGTAGGTACTTCCATATTTCCAAGGTAAAAATGAAGCTCATCCTTTGGGCAATTTATTCTATGCTAAGCATGATAATAAACGAAAAATACAATATTCATGTGAGGAAAATGATATCAGAATATGGATACAAACCTGTTGAATAGAAACCTTCGACACCTCAACGAATCGAAGACTTTATCTACTTTACGTCAGATGACATCTTATTCACAAACGTCAGTAAACAAGCCATGTGTCATGTATCCTATGAATAGAATGAAGAGATTCTGTATCCTATGGACTGGACGCACATCTCCAACTAATATAACTTATACGTGTCTCGTTGGTTGCGGGCAGTTGCATACTATTTATGTAATCCTCGATGTAATCATATAAATGAAGAGGCAGGGTAAACTCAGTATGACCAGCTCGATGAATGTAGCTAGACATCTTATCACTTTTTTTTAATGTTAAAATTTTAAATGTTAATGTTAAAATTTTTTATTGTATGTGCCGAGTTCCCCCAGAACTGCAATCCACCTGATGAAAGGGATTGTAAAGTCCATAGTAAATCAGCTCAAGTACATGTAGCGAGACCGTTTCTCGTAATTGTTTCATTACAAAGCACATACTGTTCACTTTCGTGACAAGGTTTTTTATATGTGCATAATGGAAAATTAGGGTATCAGAACTTTTTCCGAAAATCTCCTTTGAAAATATTGTGTCATTTCCTTCGTTCACGTACCTCGTCGCCAAAATATGTAATAATGTGGCTGAATGGGAGAAATACTATTTTTTTTTTTTTTAATTGACGGCCGTTACTTGATGGAAATCCATGATAAATGTAAAAACTTCACAAACGATAAGATTTTCACAAAATTTATTAAACACACGACATGTTTCGCTAACACAGTAGCTTCGTCAGGTGATATACTGGTACAATGAACTGAACTAACGTTGGCTTGCTTAACTTTTATATATCTTACCTTCCCAAACTGAAGGATTAGTTACCTGTGGACAGGTACGATAAACCTTCATTTTCGGAAATTAGGCACAATATCTACATTAAATTACGGTATACCGGATTAACTTGAAAGAGTTGATATCAAATACATATTATTACTTACTAAGAAAACAAATTCAATAGTGGTGAACTATTAAGGTCTAATTGATCATTAAGTAAAATGTCAAAATTTTTGAGTTTGTTGATTTCTAATGATTCAAAATGGTTGAGTTTCAGTCCTTTATTTTCTATGTGCAGAATTTCAAAATTATCATCAAAACTATGGTTTTCTTCTAATATATGGTTGGCGTATGTTGAATTTGTTTTCTTTTTCATAAAATTCATCTTATATTCATGAATGCGCTGATTAAACGTACGACCTGTCTGACCGATTAGAAATTAGAAATACTATTTATTCATGAAATTATGAAAATGTACATGACAAGACATAATAAAACAACCGTTACGTTTCTTATCAATAACATTTATGAAATATGCCAACCCGATATCTCAACATCATTATACAGAGGATACTACAATATGAGAAGCTATAGGTCACAAAAAATTGCAATAATTTTCATTTTGCGTCTACGTACATACCTCCCATGTTAATTTCTGATCTATAGTCAGGCGTAGATACTTGAACTGACTCACTTGCGCTATGGAGTTGTGATTAACTTTTATTAAGGGGTAGTGATCATACGAAATGGTTTTTTGTTGGAAAACCATGAAGACTGTTTTACTGTTATTGATTACTAAGCCATTATTTTCACACCATCTGGCGAATTCTTCTGCAGGCGAGTTTGCTGATTTCATAAAGAGCGGGAGTCTATTCTCTGCCAATATTTTACTTGTATCATCTGCGTAGATGATCGTTTTTTGCTGGACCAGACTCGCGAGTTGTATGTCGCTCATAAATATTATAAAAAGAAGTGGCGCCAGAGTTGACCCTTGAGGAACCCCAACAACTGGGAATTGTTTGTTATTTAGTTTCATATATTATCCAGTGTGTCCCACTTACCATGCTCACCATAGGTATCTTTTTACCGGTGAGAGATACGAGGTCGGTTAAATGACACCAAATGTGGAGTTTTTCAAGACCAACTATAATGTGAAAAAATATTTTGATAAAATCTATTCGTTTTTGTTTTATACCCAAAAAACAGATTTTGATCATTTTCATTTCTCATCCGTAACTTCTTTATCTATGAAAATATTCAAATAGGAATTCCACATTCTCATGGCAGTTTTTCAAAGTGATTTCGAAAAAAATATGAAATTTATACCAACTCTTCTAGAATTTGAGATACCAGCACCAACTTTAGTTTTTCTAATGTAGATCATAGCTTACTATGACTTAGTTGCAAATAACTTTTTTTTCTCTCAACGATGATATGTCGCAGTAATAGTTTTGTGTTGATAACAACGGAGTTATCGTCATTTAAACAAAAACAACAAAAATCCCATAATGTATTGTCACCGAAATTATGAACACCTGCCAAATTTCAAGTTGATCGGAGTTATGGAATTTTTGTTGAAATTAAAAAAAATGGCTGCTCCAAGATGGCGGACAACATTTGGTCCGATGCTATTCAAAATTGGTAAGTGGGGGTTTTTGAGGTCGGAGATCATGATTTTTTTTGTTAAAATTTATGAATTCAAAATGGTGGCTTCCAAATAATTTTTTGTTTTTGTATAAATATGACGATAACTCTGTCGTTATCAACACAAAACTATTACTGCGACATATCATCGTTGAGAGAAAAAAAAGTTATTTGCAACTGAGTCATGGTGAGCTATGACCTACATTAGAAAAACTAAAGTTGGTGCTGATATCTCAAATTCTAGAAGAGTTGGTATAAATTTCATATTTTTTTCGAAATCACTTTGAAAAACTGCCATGAGAATGTGAAATTCCTATTCGAATATTTTCATAAATAAAGAAGTTACGGAGGAGTCATGAAAATGATCAAAATCTGTTTTTTTGCGTATATAAAACAAAAACGAATAGATTTTATCAAAATATTTTTTCACATTACAGTTGGCCTTGACAAACTCCACATTTGGTGTCATTTAACCGACCTCGTATCTCTCACCGTTAAAAAGATACCCATGGTGAGCATGGTAAGTGGGACACACTGTATGTCGTTGCAGAGTTCGTTTATTGTAGTTGAAGTCGATCTTTGTTGTCTAAAGCCATGTGGCAGCTGGGAATAAGTTTGAAATATTCAACAAATTAAACAATCTCTGGTAGTAGCTAAAATCTATAATTTTTGCAATCTGTGATTGTAATCTGTAAAAAGCGAGGATTGCACTGCCAGAACGAATAAAAGTCAGATAGACTTCAAGAAGTAAAAGAAATGTCGCGTTTTGGTGAGTGGTCCTCCTCGAGAATTTCTTTATTCGTGAAATGTTCCAACGAATTAAATTCGTGCATAAAAATGACTAGATAATTTTGCATTAAAGCGTGTTATCCTATACAAATTGCATTCGTTTATTTTCATATTTTGTAAGGATGGTGGCTTCCTTCGGACTCTTGCTCTTTCGCCAAAATATAAAAATAAACTACACGTTTTATAAAACTCGCATTCTTGCAAAATTATCGGTAATATTTGGGCACTCGTGCAATTATAAGCAAAAATTGATGATCTTCCGATAATATCCCACAACAATTCGAGCAAGGTGTGCTTTGAGATCAAATCTAGTGAATTTCCTCGGCACTCATCGGAAATGGTCTTCCAACACGGAAAATTCCCCGCTTTCCCGGATTCCCGCTGCCAAACAGACACGGGCACGAGTACGGGTATATAATAGCGATTTGATGCCGTAGAAAGCGGGCCACGGGGATGGGATGGCACACAGGGTGGGAGCGGTAGAGGCAGGTTCATCTGGGTAAAGAGTGTACACATGGCAGCGGGGCGATGTAATTCATTTATTGATCTACTTTCCTGCCTGCCGCTGGTCCCGAAACGGGCACACACGAGATGACGAGACTCCATCGCGGGCCATAAGTCGGAGAGTGGAGTGTAGAGTCGATTTCCGGGGAAAATCTGTATCGCGCGGAAAAATTAGACTTAGAGAATATTTTTGCGGCTGTGGTTATCTAGGGAAGGCGGGAGACGAGAGGGAAGATCATGATGGTAGGTTTGATGTTTTTTTTCTTTTTGGTCCCACTTCGATCTCTGTCGATTCTGCCTGTTTCGTCCCCTGAGCCTTTCCTTCTTTAACCGATGCTCTTGTTCGTTTTGTTTGTCGCATTGACATAACCTCGCTTTTTGAGCGTAGGCGGGCGTATTTTGACATCTGTTGATTTGATGATCGAAACGGGTAATAATAATAATAATAATTCAACTTTCAACTGGATTCATTTAAATTGATTCTTTCACATTTTTGTTGGATAGAAATCGTCAAAAGCTCGGACAAAAGAGAGTAGCGCATTTTCAAGATTTCATCCATATGCACCCGTTGGGGGAGCACTTGTTGGTTTCCACCTTAATACAAACATTTTCGGGGGTTTATGTGGTTTCCCCATAACATTTTCATCATGAAAAACCCGCCATTATAGTTTCTTATAGTTTTTACAACTAGTTTTTTTGCGGTGGTGGTTATCTAGGGGAGGCGGGAGACGAGTGGGAAGATCATGATGGTAGGTTTGATGTTTTTTTTCTTTTTGGTCCCACTTCGATCTCTGTCGATTCTGCCTGTTTCGTCCCCTGAGCCTTTCCTTCTTTAACCGATGCTCTTGTTCGTTTTGTTTGTCGCATTGACATAACCTCGCTTTTTGAGCGTAGGCGGGCGTATTTTGACATCTGTTGATTTGATGATAAGAAACGGGTAATAATAATGATAATAATTCAACTTTCAACTGGATTCTTTTACATTTTTGTTGGATAGAAATGGTCAAAAGCTCGGACAAAAGAGAGTAGCGCATTTTCAAGATTTCATCCATATGCGCCCGTTGGGGGAGCACTTGTTGGTTTCCACCTTAATACAAACATTTTCGGGGGTTTATGTGGTTTCCCCATAACATTTTCATAATGAAAAACCTGCCATTATAGTTTCTTATAGTTGTTACAAGAAGTTTTTTGCGGCGGTGGTTATCTAGGGAAGGCGGGAGACGAGAGGGAAGATCATGATGGTAGGTTTGATGTTTTTTTGTTTTCTCGTTGGTCCCACTTCGATCTCTGTCGATTCTGCCTGTCCTGTCCCCTGAGTCTTTCCTCTGAGTCTTTCCTCTGAGTCTTTCCTTCTTTAACCGATGCTCTTGTTCGTCCTTGTTTTGTTGGTCGCATTGACATAACCTCGCTTTTTGAGCGTAGGCGGGTGTATTTTGACATCTGTTGATAAGAAACGGGCAATAATAATAATGATAATGATGAGGTTAATGATTATGATTATGATTATGATTATGATTATGATTATGATTATGATTATGATTATGATTATGATTATGATTATGATTATGATTATGATTATGATTATGATTATGATTATGATTATGATTATGATTATGATTATGATTATGATTATGATTATGATTATGATTATGATTATGATTATGATTATGATTATGATTATGATTAAGACCTCTGTATTTTTTGAAAAAATTGACCGATCTTCATGCGGTTTTCTATATCAGATGTGATGTTTCATCGGTTTCAAAGAGAGCTAGATCACTCTGGAAAAGTTCGCAGAACAAAACTTACACAGGGTGTAAAGTGGAACCATTACACTATGATCTACATTTCGAATGCTGCTATAACTCGAAAAAAAAAATTCTGATCAAGTCATTCAAATTATAATACACTGGGACCTCATCTCGGGACGATTTCGTGATTTCTCCTTAATTGGCCACTGGAATAAAAATTCGATTTTTTTTTTCGAAAGTCTTGCATTTCTTGAATGTTTTCTCTAGAACTCCGCTTGAGCAGACTATTGGGAAGAACTGTTCTCATGTTTTGTGGAGGACAATAAAAGACGAAAAAAACACTATTGTGGAATATACAGGATGATAAGAAAATAGGACAAAAACGAGGTGATGCAATTGCAAAAAATAATATATGGGGGTGATAAAATATAATACTATCTAATAATTCAATAAAAAAGGATAGTGTCACGTGTCACATTTCTATTATGAAACCGTTTTTCCAATAACAACTTTTATTATTATTATTATTCAATGATCACCTAGTATATAAAGAGGAGATATACAACGTTATCAACTCGTTCTTTAAAAGTAGCAGATATTATCTGTAATATCAGTATTCATTTGCATCTTCAGATGAATATATTCAAAGAACATTGTGCGTTCCTAGGGAGGATAGGGATAGGAGGTAGGCATTGGAATTGTTTTTGAACTTCTGGAGATTATATGTTGTTGGGAATACTTCCTCAGGCAATGAATTCCAGAGCCTAGCCGTTCTATGGATGAAGGAGTTTTGATAAAGTGCTGTTCGACATCTTTCGAGGTTGACAACGAAAATATGTGCTGACTGGGCTTGTTTAGTTCGTCTGACTGGTATTGCTAGTGAAGGGATAATAGCAGAGATTTCCGAAGCACATTTCCCGTGGAAGTATCGATAGAAAAGTGAAAGGTCGCCGACCTTGCTACGGTGTTCCAATGATGTCAAAGAGTGGGTGAGTGTGGCGTCACCCACCAGGCGGATGGCTCTTCGCTGGATGGAATCTAAGAGCATCAGTGTATGTTTTGGTGCTGAGCCCCACATGTGGGAACAGTATTCTAGAACAGGCCGTATCTGCGCTTTGTAGATCATGAGGAGCTGTTGAGGTGTAAAGTAGCTTTTCGCACGGAACAAGAATCCGATTTTTTGTGAAGCAGCTTTTGCGATGGATCTGACATGATATATACGAACTGTTTCAAGAGGAAAAACGCAGAATGACATTCCTTCTGAAACCTTGACAAATAGGAGATTAATACTAGAAAAAACATCATCACATTAATATTGAATATTGAAATATTTTTTTGATTCGAATATCATTCAGCTGCTGTTATATGGAACAGGTTGATATCTTCGTGTATCTTCAACTTATACAAAGGGTGAACATGGAATTCGAATAAACGTATTTTGTAATTGAAATAGGACATTTCTCGATTTCTCATTTCTCGATATCCTTCCCTGTGAAATAAATGAATATCGTTATTGTCTTGAACAATAATAGCTGGAACACATTGTATAATTGTTGACCAGTAGCAACAATATTGATGAATAGTTCTAGTAGTGACTTATTCTATCAAAAAATAATATAATAATGACATCATTGGAACACCGTAGAAAGGTCGGCGACCTTTCACTTTTCTATCGATACTTCCACGGGAAATGTTCTTCGGAAATCTCTGCTATCATCCCTTCACTAGCAATACCAATCAGACGAACTAGACAAGCCCAGTCAGCACATCCTTTCGTTGTCAACCTCGAAAGATGTCGAACAGCACTTTATCAAGACTCCTTCATCCATAGAACGGCTAGGCTCTGGAATTCATTGCCTGTGGAAGTATTCCCAACAACATATAATCTTCAAAAGTTCAAAAAAAATTCCAATACCTACCTCCTGTCCCTATCCTCCCTAGGAACGCACGATGTTCTTTGAACATCATAGGGATTCCCTTTCGTGCGCTCCAAGCGATAAAAAAAAAGGAGAAAAGAAATCAAGATTGAGACTTCAGCGGCCTCTAGCGCCAAAACTAGCCATTAGAACGGTTTGGTATTTGGACCTTTTGTTCAGAATGTCTTGGACTATAACATATCAAAAATTCAGCCGATTCAACAGAAGGCCAATTTTCCCTATAAAACGTGCGGTGTCCTTTTCAAAATTATCGAATCAACCACTATTTGCTCGACTATTAGGGCCTATTTATGCATCATTGTCTTAGTCATTGTCTTATTCATAGTCTTACTAAGGTGAATAGAATATTAATTCATCATATTTGGACCTTTATGCATCACAGTCTTTAGGCTTAAGAATTATGATATGACAATTGACAATCCGTCAAGAGATCCGTCAGTAGATAGGGTACAAAAACAAATTCTATATACCAGAGATGAAATGTAATCTATTTACCAGTCAATGCCATGATTTGTGACATTGATTTCCAGGAATTCTCTATTGCAATTGTATCTATGTATTTTGAGTCTTTCTTGTCCCAAAGATGAGGAAATTTCTCTACCAAATCTATTAGGGTTCCTTCTTCCAGGCTCATGATTTTTTGATATTTGTTATCAAATGTAATCAAATTATCAGAATGATGTAATCAATTATTGACACAGCACAGAATGGCACTGATTTTTTGGGAGACAGCAATATTAAAAATCATTTGTGATTGTCAAATATGTTGACAGGTCTACACATGCGCATTTCTTATGTGGTCTCAATCATAAGCATAAAAATCGAACTTTCAGGGTCATGATTTGATGATTATGATTAAGACTAAGACTAAAAATGTTGCATGAATTCACCTATTGAAATGTATGCTCATACCTTGATTTTATGATTAAAACAAATACTGTGACTAAGACTAAGACTGAGACAATGATGCATAAATAGGCCCTTAGTGAATTTTATTATTATTATTATTATTGTTCCAGGTGCGGCATGGTGGTCGATGGCCTCCCACTTGGCCGCCCAGGATTACCTAGCCCGCCTCCAGGCGTCCGGTCTCGCCTTCCCCGGCCTGCCCTCGTCCTCGTCTTCTTCGTCCTCGGCATCGGCCGCCGCCGCCGCCGCCGATTTGCAGTACTCGGCCGCGCTCGCCGCCGCCGGCCTGCCGTCTCTCGCCAGCGGGGGCGGCCATCACGCGCACCACCTGCAGTACCAGCCGCCGCAGCTGGGCGGGAAGGCGAAGGGGGGGAAGGGGAGCGCCGGCGGGCACGGATCGGCGTTGGCCAGGTGAGGGTGGTGTTTTGGGTTGTTTTTTAGGGGGATGTCGGTGTTTTTGTGGTTGATGGGTGGGGCATATTTAACCCATTTGAACCTAAAACTATTTTTTTTCAATTGTGTTCATTTTTTTCTTTAAACCTGTTGAAAGAAGGTCCCATGAGCCGAGAAAAAATCATAGATACATCATTCCATTACAAGTTTTGCAAAAAACATCGGTACTTTTAAAAGGACAGTAGGATTAAGGTCTACTATTAGAAAAATAAATAAAGATTAAAAAATAGAGAGTTGAAGTGTTGTCATGAGCGTTAACGTAAA